TCTGAATAATTTTTATACTGGTTGCATGTTACAATGACAGTGTTCTGGATAGCTTAGATGAAAGAATATCTGTCATGAAAAGCAATTTTATGTGCTTCTTTTTAATTTTTTTTTAACTTTTTACTTTTTACTAATGTATAATTTATTTTCTAGTATGGCTACCAGAACATTAAAAATAACATGTGTAGCTGGCATTTATGGCTTGAATTATATTTTTATTAGTCAATATTGATCTACATTTAAAAATTAAGGTAAGCAAGATAGTGTTTGTCAATCCAGCAGACTTGAAATATAAGCTTCTATTATCTGATGATAGCATGATACTATGGTTTGCATATCCCCCAAGGCTTTTTTTTTTTAGAGGTTTTTTTTTTTTTACCTTAGGGCATATGCCCTTGTCAGACAGAAGAGAGACAGAGATAGTGAGAGGCAAAGTGAGAGATCACCTTCTAGGGGAGATGGCCACACCACAATCCCTTCTCCTCCATTCTTTTCCCAGGATCTTGGGCACATGTGCACACATGTCTAGCATCATTTTCAAGTCACCAAGTCCAGGACTCAAACCGCAGATGGCCATGTGAGAGTCCAGTGATACAACTGCTGCACCGTCTGCTGGCTCGTCCCCCAAAATGTTAAGTGTTGAAATTTGGTTGTGACAGAAGTAAGAATAAAAACTCAGGGCTGGGAACCAGCAGATGACATGGTAGTTAAGGCACTGGACTCCCACACGGCCAACTGTGGTTTGAGCCCTCGACTTGGTGTCTTGAAATCATATCATGCATGTGTGCGTGTGTGCCCAAAATCCCACGAAGAGAATGGAGGTGAAGGAATTGTGGCATGGTCATCCCCCACGCCCCCAGGGGTGATTTCTCACTTTCCCTCTCACCGTCTTTCTATCTCCCTCCTCTCTGGTGAGTACATATGCCTTATGGAAAAAGCCTTAAAAAGACAAAAACAAAAACAGCAAAACTCAGGGCTAGAGGGTGGCACCGTGGTGAAGAGTACCATGTACTAAAAAGCCAACACATGTGGGAGAATTTTGGTTTGCTTCCCGGCACCTTCCTGAGTGTACCAGGTGTGTGTGCTCAACAGCTTGGGGCACCTGTTGGGGGAGATATGTCTCTGTCTCTGTCACTCTCTTTTTCTCTCACTCATGGAAGAAAACCAAGCCATCAATACCTTTTGCCTATTAAAAAAGGGTAGAACTTTATCAGTCTATAGTGTTGAAAGATGAGGCCTTTGGGAAGAGTCTGGTAATGAAGGTGGGCCTCCCAGGATTGAGTCCTGGTGGGTTATAAGGAGAGGGAATGAGAGAGACTTACGGATGCAGGTGATCTGCTCTGCTTGGCTCTCATGAGGTAAAGCCTGAGGACTCTGTAAGATCTCACCAGCTGTGGCCCCTGGACCATGACTACATAAATGTCTACATAATTTTCTCTTCTCTGAAATTACCCAGGTTTGGATATTTTTCTATTATTAGCAACAGAATGGACGAGAGCATGTGAAGACTAGACAATACGGAGAAAGAACTGACCAGGAAGTGATTGGCACTATGACATGGTACCTTTTTCATTTCTCCTACTCTGGACAGTTTCTGCAAGACAGAATATCTGCTTCACAACTTTCTAACGGAATGATGAGAAAGGCGGAAGTGCTGGGAGATGAGTTGTGTTCTAATCATAAATTGAACTATGGAAGAAACAGAGAGGAATCATCTACCTGAGCTTTCTGGAGGTCTCCCAGGAAGCCATTTTCAAGGAGATAGGATTAGGCCTCTTATTCTTTCCTATGAACAGGACCTACTCTTTCCTTTTTTTCTTTTTCTTTCTTTTTTTAAAATTTGCCAGAGTACATGCACACTTGCTAAAGACAAGAGAAAGGGAGAAGAAAAAGTTACCTCCAAGGGGAGTGTGGTCACATCACAATCCCTTTTCTTTCTTTCTTTTTTTTTTTTAAAAAAAAGAATTATTTTATTTACTTACTTATTTTAATTTGCCCAGAGAAGGACAGAGTAAGAGAGAGAGGAGAAAAGTGAGAAAGTAAGCCACCAGGCCCAGGACTCAAACCATGGTTGGCCATGTGGTAGTCCAGCATCCTTAACCACCATGCCATCTGCCAGCCTGCAATCCCTTTTCTTCCATTGCTCCATTCTGTTGGCATTTGGAGCACACATGCCAGGTGTGTTTTTAAAACCAGATTTGGGAACCACAAAGTCAGTCATGTGGGGCCTAGCTCTCTCAACCAGTAGGCCATGGGACTGGCCCCAAGGCTTAAACTTGCTTATCAGGAATAATATCAGAGGACTCTTCTCCTTCAAAGATCCATTGATGAAATATCACTGCTAGGGCGATGATATGGAATGTTTGAATAGGAAAATGTGAACCAAGAAGCTATATTGCAAGGAGAGTATTCAAGAGTGAAATGTGTCTGAAAGACATCTTGATTGGGATATTTTAACACTGAGAAGGGTGTTTATTTAAATGAGTAGTTTTGCTCCTTTTTGGGGGGTGGAATCCATTGGATATATGATTTTTTATCCTACAGTTTTTCCTATTCTTTTCTCATGTTCCACAAAAAGAGATACTTTTAAGAGATTTTTGCCATAGAGTGTGTATGCTCACCAGAGAGAGAGAGACAGAGAGAGAGAGAGAGAGAGACAGTAAGAGGGAATGTGAGAAATCACCACTCAGGGCAGAATGACCATGCTGCAATCCCTTCTCCTCTATACTCTAACTTTCATACAAAGTTAATTTTTAAAAAGTTAAGTACAACTTCACTGGGCCTCACCAATAAGAACAAGGCTTTAACGTGCGGAGTATATAGAGAATACTTAGCATGTGTGGCCTGTGTAAACAGAGGGTTGTCACCACCGGCCAAACAAGCAAATAATGTAAGAAATTCTACACTAGCCTAGGGGGGAAAATGTTCAGGGGATCGTGGGGACTAATGCACTTCTGTGAGATAGGTGAGGAGATTGTTTAAAATGCCAGCTCTTGGGAACCAGCAGTTAGCGTAATGGCTATGTCGCTGGATTCCCACGTAGTCGACCGCGGTTCGTGTCCCGGACCCAGTGGCTTAAAACTCACGCCAGGCGCGTGTGCGTGCGTGTCCAAGATCCCGAGAGGAGAATGGAGGAGAAGGGATTGCGGCGTGACCATCCCCCCTGGGGGGTGATTTCTCGCTTTCTGTCTCTGTCTCTCTCTGTCTGTCTGGCGAGCGCACGCGCCCTACAGTGAAAATCTCTCCAAAAAAAAAAAAAAAAAAAAAAGCCAGCTCTTAGAGTCCTCACAGAAGCAAGGGAAGGGGTGTCTGCTTAGAGCAACTTCATCATAGACAGGACCAGCACAGGAGCACACAGGCCCCAGATAACTCAGAACCACAGGAGAAGGTGAGTGTGTGGGATTCTATGAGGCAGAGTGTGTGAAGAGATTAGTGAGTAGTGGGTGTTCAGAAAACACCTCATTATTGATTTGAAACATGTCTATGGCACCAGTAAAGTTTATCTCCATTTTACCACAGACAATGCTAAGGCCTCAGAAATTTCACAGAATGCCCACTGCTTTTGTCTGAATCCATTTAGGAGAAGCTTTACTCAAGCTTCCACTACTGTTGATTCATGGTTAAATCACGCACTCATCCTTTTTACATTTTGTTTTTCAATATCATTGCAAATCACATGACATTGTACTTCATTCTTCCTCTCTCCCAACCCCAAGGAAAGCTAAGCAACTCTAACAGCCCCATTACCTTAATAAACTAAAGCCTTTCAGTGAAAAGGGTTTGTATCCGCTTCATCAAATCTAGTGGATGATCGTTTCTTTAAAAAAACGAAAGACTAAATCTCAAGGATTTTCTGAAACCTTATGAAAATTCATATTGCTTAGTGACCTAAGTGAGTTGAAGGTTGGTACCCAATGACTGCTAAGAAGTTACAAGGAATGTTGTAGAAATATAAATAGACTGGCACTGAAATTTAATTAGACACTGCATATGTTAATAATAAACTCAATTAATTTAGCCTTCTACCTATACCAGAGGAGAAAAAAACTCAGGCGCAATAATAATTCATTTTAAATGCCTCAATTGGTAACCTCCTTTCCTGAAGAGTGATTTATGCAGTAATTTACCGACTGTGTCTTCATAAGATCGTTCCAAACCAGCCCTTTTGAAATAATAATAACTTCTGAATGTGTGTTGTGAGAGATATAACAAATGACTTCTTATTAATTTTCATTTAATGAGTTGCCTATTCACATGGTAATTTTTTAAAAATTCTCTTCTTAAGATAAACAGGTTATAAATACTGTGGATAACACTTCCATTTCACAAAAATCATGACAGGAAAATCTGTCTCATATTCTCTACATGATGTGAAGGTCAATCAGTTGCAAATTTTCTGTACTAAATAGGCATCTATTTCTTCCTGGTTGACACAGCAGATCATTTTAAATTTCTATAGCCAAATGATTCCAAATTGGTTTAAAATGGAAACAGAATATTTATCAACAGCAAAGATCCCCCACGGGACAATAGGGGCAGTGAGAGGACCCAGTCAATCGTGAGCAAGGTGGAAAAGCAGGCAGGGTTAGTTAAGGAGCTCAAGACACTGGTCTCTTTTTAAAAAAAAAAAGAAAATGGAAAGTGTGAAAGTCATTTCATGTAACTTTCCTAGTTCCTTAAATTGCCTTTTTTTTTAACAAAGACCCCATAATTCCTACATACATATTAATATTTAAGAATCTCAATTGTTTAGATTTTCAAAATGTTAATAACATAACAGTAATTATTGATCATAATAAAAATAGGAAGCCTGGAATAATAATAAAATAAAAACAAAAGCTAGGTAGAAGAAATGGCTCATAGTCCTAAGTATTTCAGATGCTTCACAGCTATTGTTAAAATCATGCAACAGAGAGGGCAGGCTCTTAAAAATAATTTCTTGCAACACTTAGAAGACTGTGCCTAAAGGATTAAATAATTCAAACACAATCATTACTTACAGGAGAACCGAAAGGGCCTCGCTCCTAACCCGCACTGCCTCACGCCTTCCCCGTGGAAAAGTCCGTACTGTATCTCACCCATGAACTTGTCCAACTCCTGCCCTGAAGCATTGACAAGCAGAGCTCCTGTTTTGCAGAGGAAGGTGGCTTTGATCCACCGCGGTGTCCCCAGGGCTGTCACCACTCCGAGGGCACATGTGAAACTCAACACCCCGGCTGTACAAAAAATGATTTTCTTCTGCTGGTTTGGCATGATGAGAAATAGCTATTGTGAGGGTGAGGTTCCCAAACAAGACCTTTGTGAGCAAGGAGAAGGGACTGCCCCTTTGACTGCATTTATTAGAGAAGCTGAGTGGACAGATCCCCACTGAAAAGCCACTTCACTCCTGCTAGCTTCTCACTAGGCTAATCGTCAGTAAATGAAGGCGTCTTCGTCCCTCCAAGTTGGCATTTCTCCTTTTCTGCTGCTTCTCTCTTTTTCAAAATCTTTGGACTAAGAATCTGTAAAATAAAACTCTTCCAAACTGCCTTGAGTATCTATTCTTGTGTCACTTGGTAACAAAGGTCTAAGATAACAGATGGAGTCCTCCGTGTAACTTGATAAATGCCTCCCTCCCTCAGCCTTCTGTCTGCCTGGGTGAGCTGAAACTTCCTGTAACAGGCTCAAATCCTATGGTAAATTTTCAGCAACTTGAGAAGTTCATTTATTCATGTGTTTTTTATTTGCTTTTGATGATAGGGGAAAGGAGATTTGGCAGAGGTAAGAATACACACACGTGTGTATGTGTGTGTGTGTGTATACTGGTAATTTATTTTGAAGATGTTCAATGTCTCAGGATAAAAATATTGAGCTGACTCAGTTTCTGTGTGGCTATGAAGGACCTTAGACCAACCACAGGGACCTGTCCTCCTAAATCCATTTCTCCCAGATCCATTATATATAGAACTGATGTATCAATAAAGAATTTAATTTTTTTTTAGCACACACACAAAAAGGAAATCAAGTGCAAATACCTAGTTTTCTAAATTCTTTTGTTTATTTAAACAATTTGCCTGCTTTAGGATAATAGTGAGGAACTGTGGTTCTAGGTACACAGTGCCCAAATCTGTAAACCCAAGGGCACTGTCTTGGCAATAGGGATGATGATTGCTCTAAGAATCCCCCAGAGAGGAGCAAGAGGCACAACAGAAGTAATCTGTTAGGCACACCAGAGATGAAGTCGTGAACAAGATTAAGTAGCAAAGTAGACCTGGTTAAATTGTCAAGACCTGAAAACTGAAGTTCAAAATTCAGTGACAGCTAAATTCAGCATTTCTAATGAGATTCCTGCTTCTGCAAACAGATATAGCACTGGTGTGTGTGTGTGTGTGTGTGTGTGAGAGAGAGAGAGAGAGAGAGACATAGAAAGAGATTTGCCTGCATCCTTTTGTAGAAATGGAAAGATCCAAAGATAAGAACAGGCAGGACAAGAGTAGACACCAGAGCCTGTATGGGAAAGGAGTGGATAGTAGAGGGTATGTGGGAGGGTCTTAGAGAATAAACACTTAACAGACAAAAGAATGTCAAATTCTCTGTTGAAAATGATGTATATCATAATATATTTGATTTGATTGTCATGTACTGCATACATACTTTGAAAAACCATATTGTGCACTAGAGGGAGGTACAATGATAGAATATAAATAAGAAAAATTTTAAAAAAGAGACAGGTTGTTTACCGAATATGTATTACGGGATATGCTGTTGTGATGAGCTCTGGCCTGCAAAGTTAACTTTCAGTAAGAATTCAGTATTATCAGTGTTCTTTGCTAAGTATTTGACCTAAATGATCTAATTCAATTCTCACTATTATCATAAAGTAATGAGGAAGAGGAGGAGGAAGAGATTCCATTTTATAAATAAGAAAACCAAGACTCCGAGAAATCAAGCAACTTTCAAAGAAAATAGTGGAACTTGGATTCAAATTCAGGTATTCGAATTCTGAGGTTTATGTGCTTTTTGTGCTAAGCAAAGCCCCTGACCTTAAAGCAATGGCAAGCATTTAAGTTTGGGTTCTATTGGGTTGGGTTAGGTTGGGAGTAACAAGGACAAAGTAGCGTACTATTAGTTACACATTTTGGGAATGGAGGAACACAGACATCTGCAAACTGAACTTTCCCATCTGGCCAAAGTCCCATGGTTATGCTAGCTTCCATTCTCTTGATCTACCTTTAAGCATGATAACTTAGAAGAAATTAATAAATGAAGATCTGTTTCACACCACTGTCAACACAAATGACCCTCTATGCTACACATGCTGAGGGGAACTTTGGGGTATAACGGAGTAGAGGAGAAATTCTGCCCAGCTACTGCCCCAGGAATTCCTGGGGCCTGTCTCATTTAGTATAGACAACTAAGTCTAGAAGTGAGCCAAGAATGCAAATGCACCTTCAGGGCAGGAGGGGTGCCAAAAACAATGGCCACAGAGGATTAGGGTTTATAGAAGATTTAAAGAGGCACTCAGAATAAGGTTTACGATATAATGGCGTCTTTATTTTGCATAAATTTAACACACATAAACAACTCATCTTAGACTATCTGCCCTCTCCATTGGAGTAACTGCCATTATTGCCCACTAGCAGAACAAGGAGGCACCAGTGCCCCAAAAAGAATTTATTTGGGGATATAGGTGATGCACCCACTCCAAAACCTTAGTTTAAGATAGTAAGAAGAATTAAGCTCATTAAATTAACATATTCTGTCATTGGAAGAGATAGAACATTTCCAAAGCCTGGGAAGAGAAATTAACCTGCAACTTAACACTATTAATACCTTGATAGAAAGAATATGGCAAGAAGGGAGTAGTTAGCACAAGACAATGATCTATTTAACCAAAACCTAGCTATGTGCATCTGAAATTGCCTAAGGAGGACATAAAGAGCAATTTGATCACATTGGTTCTTAAGTTTGTGTCAGTCTGCAATGAAGTGTTCACTGGTCTATGGAGACATGGTAAGTACAACATAGTAAGTTTGTCTTCTATCCTGAAATTACATTCTTCCTACTTTTTGTTGTTGAAATTTCCTTTCTTTAATGAAATTAAAATTTTAAACAGTATTTTGTTATAGGGTATGTGTGCTCACCAGAGAGAGAGACAGGAGAGAAATCACCTCCCAGTGGGGATGACCATGTCACAATCCCTTCTCTTTCATTCTCTTCTTGGGATTTTTGGCATGCACACACACATGCTTGGCATGATTTTCAAGCTGCCAAGTCCATGACTTGAACTATGGTTAGCCATGTGGGAGTCCAGCCCCTTAACCACCATGCTACGTATTGGCCCCAGAGAGTTGAATTTTTAATGTCTCTACCTGACAAGGTAAAGGTTCCAGTTTAAAAGAAAACAAAACTAAATCCCACTGATTCACGACCCAGAGTCAAGATCCCAGAGTGGAAAGGGTGAGGCCCAAAGCATCACTGTGGCCAGTGACCTCTTTGTCAGTGATTCTCAGCCTTGGTTACTCATTGAAATCACTTGAGGAGATTAAAAAAAATAAAAAATAATAAAATAAACCAACCTGATATCTGTGTCCCCCTCCGTGAGATTCAGATTTACTTGGTTTCAGAGAAATGCCTTTGCAATGAATCCCCCAGGTGATAGCAATGCACCGCCACGGTGGAAAGATACTGCTCTTACCCCATTCTCACATAGCGACCTTCTGAGTGCTGGCTAGACCTCGTGGGTTCCTCCTGGCTGGAATGCAAGCACACCTCAGCATTCCAGTCACTAGAGAAGAGTGTTCTCATAGTAAATTAGTAAGTGGGCTCTACCAGTGTATGGCTCAAACATTCCTGAATGTTTTCAGCACCAAGAGCATGATTTTGTCTAACTGTCCTGATGGGGTCAGGTTTCAGCATATCTAAAAGCAAAGAGCAGGCCCTGGTTCATGGGTTTACCCCCAAATCACCACATGAATATCAATGGCACTGGTTCCTGATCACGTGAGGCAGCCCCTCAAGCCCTACGCCCACCTCGCCTCTTCTCTGTGCAGCATCTTTTCAAACTTCGATGTCAACCACCCACCAGCTGCATAGTAGTGTGTGTGATCCACCCTCTGAGAGGGATATAATGGAACCTGGCAGTCATTATGCCTGACAGCCTTCTTTTGAATTTTCATCTTACATGTCTTGAATGACAGTGATGACACCATTTTCTTGCAGTCTCTCGGAGAATTTGAGTCATTAATGTCAGCAAGTTTTCACCAAGTAGCCTACTGAAATTTTTACTTCTCTCAATCTTCATAGGAATACATTTAGTGACACAAAGAAATGGAAGTAGGCCTCCCCCCACCTCACTCCCCCCATGACCCTTTGAGGTGCAGGATAACGATGGGATTCTTCAGAGTGACTAGAAAGACTAGAGATAAAGGAGCACAATTACGGACTCTGTTTTTCCTTCTAATACAGCACTTGTGCCTCTTACACTAATTTGCCTGCATTGTGTTTTCTTATCGCCGTCTGAAAACAAAAGTCAAGAGAGGGTGTGAGGGAAGGCCCAAGTCCAAAGACAAGAGAATTCTCACCTGATTTGTTCCCCAAGTGTAAGCAGCATGGCATGATGTAGAAAGATGCTCTCCAGGGTCTGTTTCCAGATCTGAGACTAACTTAATCCCTTAAATTCTCTGGCAGTCATTTTGAATATCTATAAAAAGAATGGTCTGGACTACGTAGGTTATTCTCAAATTATCCTCTAGGATAAAACCCATTTCTTCAACTGAACTCTTGAGTGAAACTAGAGATAATGACTGAGCTGCAGAACCAGAGGGGTAGGTGGTTGAAACGCCCTCTCTTATTCTGTAGGGTGCCCCACCCCACTCTGAAATCAACTCTGAGATATGCAGTAGGATCCTTTGGTTTCATTCAAACTTAAAAAAACAAAATGATTGTCCATTGTGGAACTAAAATTTGGCCAATTGCTAGATGATCTTATCTTTTTTTTTTTTTTTTTTCTGTTCTGGCCCATTAGCTTTATGAAATATTGCATTGCCTAGAGACACCACGTGGTTGATTATTCCGATTATCAGGTTTTAGATAATTTTAACGAGAGAGTCTACGTTTTGTCTGATTTGTTCCTGATAGTACTGATTTCAATTTTCCTCCAAATAGATCATTGCACTGTAAGGCCTCTCTCAGAGAGATTCAACAAGGGTTTATCAAGCTTCCTATTGTAAGACAAGAGGCTTTTGTAAATCTGTCCCATTTTTCTCATCGTTGAAGCAAACTCTGGCAAATTTGATTGACATTCCTTGACTAATTCAAGTTGCTGGTGATCCTCAAGTAGCATTGTAATTCTCTAATGATTGTAAGGG